TACATAACTTTTTAAAAAATGAGTGAGGAAAAACATGAGAAAAGCCATAGTTTTGCTCATCCTTCTTTTTTTTTTAAATGCTGAGTTTTGTGGGGGGTTTTTTTTAATTTTATTTATTTGAGAGAGAGAGAGCACAAGAGGGGGTAGGGTCAGAGGGAGAAGCAGACTCCCCGCTGAGCAGGAAGCCCGATGCGGGACTCCATCCCGGGAGTCCGGGATCATGACCTGAGCTGAAGGCAGTCACTTAACCAACTGAGCCACCCAGGCACCCTTGCTCATCCTTCTTTTCCCAGGATGCTGTTCAATAGCAACATTTTTTCTTTTTTTTTTAAGATTTTATTTATTTATTTGAGAGAGAGAGAACACACACAATTTTGGGGTGGGGGGCGGTGCAGAGGAAGAGGGACAAGTAGACTCTTCACTGAGCAGCAGAGCCTAACTCAGGCTCAGTGTGGGGCTTGATCCCACAGCCATGAGATCATGACCTGAGCCAAAATCAAGAGTCAGATGCTTAACTGGCTGAGCCACCCAGGTGCCCCATCAATAGTGACCTTTCAGAGAAGATTGCTAAACACATAGAAGGGATTGAAGGAAAGTGCCATTTCAGATATCCCTAGGGTTGGGTGACAGAGTGAGAGGAGAGGTGTTTCTGCAGTTGGAACTTTACCTTTAGCATGGATGTGGGCAGACCTTTGTAATCACAGTCACATCATATAGCCACCAAGTAAAACAATCCTTGATGTTCTTCTGCGAGTTCATAGTGAGTTATAATAAGTGTTTAAAGAATGCAAGCTGAATAAAGGGTAGCCTCTGGAGGGGAATGGTCAAGTAAAGTCAAGGGGACTTTTTGCCTTTTCTATATTTCCATTTTTACATGAAGAATGTATTAGTAATTAAAATTAGTATAAAACAAAGTCCATTGTGAAACATTTTTTGGCAAGTGAGAATGGGATGGGGACTAGATTTGCCCCATCTAAGTGGGCCATAGTTTGAGATCCACCCTTCCCTCTAGGGTACTCTTTCCTCTGCTACATGCCTAGAGGGTCAGTGACCTTAAGCCCAGAGGGTCACTGGGTGAAATGATTTGGATGGAAGGAAACACATCCTTGTCGCAGGACCACAGAACGAGGGGCCTGTCTACTCACTTTTCCCCCGCTGGATTTACTAACTACCCTGATTTCAGTACTAATAAAGCCTTTTTGGGTTGCAAGTGACAGACAACCAAATTGAATTACCTTGTTCAAAAAGGAGAATTTATTTTATCATGAGAAACAAAACAAAACAGGTTCGGCTTCATGCAAAGTTGGATTTGGCACATTATCATCAGCAATTTGATTTTCTGCCTTGCAGCTCTTCCTCCTTTTGCCTGGGCTTCATTCTCAAGTCTTTTCCCACATGGAGACCAAGCTGGTAACCAGCCACAGCAGGTTTATAATTCTGCCTTGTATTTGCACCAAGTAACCTCAGTAAATACAGAAAATCTCAGTTTAGCTCCAGAGAAGGTCCTGGTGTTTAGTGTCATTGATCTGAACCAATTGGCGAGGGAAAGGAATGGAATGCTCTGATTGGACAGGCCAAGGGCATGTGTCTACTAATGGTGTGGAAGTCTGGGATCAGCCCCACCTGAACCACAGGGATTGAGTTGGTGGAGAAGGGTTGGTGTCCCAAAGGACATACCAAGATACAAAGGGAAAAACTGTGCTGGAAAGCAAAAACGAGAAATGTCTACCAGTTTCCCTGATATGTAGTCACACAGAGTAATCCAGTTTCATTATCATTACTCTCTTTCTTATGACTCTAATGTCTCTCTAACATGCTCTGATTTTTGGTTCTCAACCAATTCATCTTTTCTTTCCAAACTTGGAGTCTCAAGGAGCTCTCAGGGCATTGTTGTTAATGCCGGGAGGGATTGCTTACCAATCCCCTGTGATCTGGACTGAGAAAGAATAATTTTCCAGGCGAGGAGCATTCATTCAACATGTCTTTCATTCCTTCTAGGTATCAAATTGTTTGACCCAGATCCTACCTATAATAAGTAGCCTCGTGATGGTGCTATCCAAGAAAATCAGTATTAAGACAGCATGATAAGCAGTAGAGTTCTGCACCCTACTGATAAGGCTGATAAAGGAACTTTATGAAGGAGAATCTTCAAAATCAGCCCACGGCCATCAAGACATGCTTCTAAAAGAAGATATGCAAACTATGTCCCTAAGGACCCATAAGCATTCAGCAGAGGGGTGGAGGATGAGGGGGTACGTGGACCTTCCGAGTGGAGAGAACAGTACGCGTCAAAGCACAAAAGCAAACTGGGCCATGGTGTATTTTTGGAATTATGAGCTGGCCAGGATAACCACAGCTCAGGGGGTGTGTAGCAAAGTGGCCTGAGACAAGGCGGTAAAAAACACAAATGAACTTGTCACCCATGTCAAGGCTGGATGTTTGAGAGAGATCTTGCAAGCAAGCATTAGCCACTGAAGACTTTAAGGCAGAAGAAAAATATGACTAAATGTGGTTTTGTTTGTCCACTTTCTGGAGAACAGATTGCAGAGGAATAAGCCTGGAGGCAGGAAGACAAATACAGTCTACTTCAGTGGTCCTGGTAGGTTTTGATAAGGAGGAATTAATTAAACAAAGCACAGTGAGATAAAGAAAATGGGGAATGATTAGCAACATACAGGAGATAGAGTTGACAGGACAGAAAAACTAGGGAGGGTGGGGGGGGGGGAAGAGAGAGGAGAAAAGGGGAGAGTCCAGGAGGGTTCCCAGGTTTCTAGCTTGGATGACCGGTTGGTCGATGCTGTCATTCCAGCAGAAATGAAGGTTTCAGAAGAAGATGATGGATACAGTTGGGGACATCCAGGTGGAGAGGTATAATGGGTCTAAGAGCTGTCAGGACTGGAAATGTAGATGTCATCAGGGACTGGGGGTAGCTGAAGCCATGTTTGTGGATGGGTCAGTCAAGGGGATGTATAATATGAAAAGGGAAGTGGGAAGGACGGAACCCCGGGTATCACCAACATTTAAAAGTCCAGTAGATAAAGAGGAGTCAAAAAGAAGACAAAGGGGAAGGGACTAGAGGATACAATAAGGATGCTGCTCACCAGGAGCGGCAGGTTCTCTTTTTGATAGCCATTTGCAATTCTCTTTAGGAAAACTGCCCCATCTCCTCCCACTCCACCTCTTCGCTGCTGAAGCTGCAGACTGGGACTCAGGATAAGGAAAGGCTTTGGGGTACCTGGCTGGCTCAGTCAGTACAGTGTACAGCTCTTGATCTCGGGGTTGTGAGTTCAAGCCCCACGTTAAGTGTAGAGATTACTTAAAAATAAAATCTTAAAAAAATTTTAAAAAGGCTTTGAAGCATATGCAGAAATGCTGCAGCCCCAACACGATAGCCAGCTTGTACTGTGACATCATTTTACTCGTTTCTGTCCTCCCACGTGTTAACAGGTAATTTTTGCTCACTTCTGGATTTTTGGCTGTCTTCCAGATGACTGAGGTCGCAAATACATGAAGCATTCCAGTGACACTTTCAAGGCATAACTTATCTTTACCAATAGTCAACTGGAGTGGAGAAAATTCTGCTCAGTTTCCCTTCAGAACCAGGAAATTCACCTTTATGGGACCCACAGGCCCTTCTTCCCTACTCACCTGGATCTGTTGTTATAAAGAAAGGATGGATATTGGTGTTTGGGTTATCTTGGTAGATCATAGATAGAGAAATCTATGTATTGTCTACTTAGCTCTGGGGAAGGACTAGGACTTGAATCCCAACCCAGCGCTGTCAGTTAGTAGCTATTGGCCATGAGCACCTCTCTGAGCCTTACTTTCCTTAGTTGTCAAATGGAGACAATAATTTTTCCCTCATAACACTGTGCAAAGATGAAGACGACATGAGATCATCCAATGGGTGTAGAGCTCCTTGTTTCATGTCCCAGGTTCCGTGTGAAAAGAAGAGAATAATTATAAAATTGATTTTTCTTTCTTTTTATTTTATTGTAGTAAAATATAGATAACGAAAGATTTGCCGCTGTTAGGTGTACAATTCAGTGGTGCTAATTACATGCATAATGTTGTACAACCATCACCACTGTCCATTTCCAGACATTTTCCTTCACCCCAAATAGAAACTCTGTACCCATCAAACAATTAACTCCCATTCTCCTCTACCCTTAGCCCCTGGCAACCTAAAATCTACTTTTTGAGCCTATAAATTTGCCTATTATAGATATTTCATGTAAGTGGAATCATACATGTGTGTCCTTTTGTGTCTGGCTTATTTCAGTTAGTACAACGCTTTCAAGGTTGATCCATGTTGTAACATGTCAGAACTTCATTCCTTTTTATGGCTGAGTAATAGTCCATTGTGTGCACATAGAGCATTTTGTTCATCCATTCATCTGTTGATGGACACAGGGGTAGTTTCCACCTTGTGGCTATTGTAAATGATGCTGCTATGAACATTGATGCACAATGTTTGAGTCCTTGTTTCCAGTTCTTTGGGGTATATACTTAGGACTGGAATTACTGGGTCTTATAAGAATTTCATGTTAAACTTTTTTGAGGAAACACCGAACTGTTTTTCACAGCATTGTACCTTTACATTTCCGCCAGCAATGTACAAGGATTCCAGTTTCTCCATATCCATACCAACACTTGCCATTTTCCTTTTTTTTTTTTTTAATTATAGCCATCCTAGGAAGTGTGAAGTCGTATCTCACTGTGGTTTAATCAGGATTTAATTATCTCTGTCAATGAATGAAAAGAGTTCAAATAATAAAATCAATATAAATAATATTGATTGAATATGAATGAAAAGAGTTCAAATAATAAAATCAAATCAATGGTCCAAAGACCATCTATATAAAGTGGTGTAGCACTTGGGTATTATTTGAAAGAGTCTGTGTCACACAAACCAAGGATAATTATCTGGTTTTAAAAATACATTTAAAATAATAAAGCCCCCTTCTCCTTTTCACCGCCATCCTGCTGTGTGTGGCTGACTGCTCCTCGCCATGTCTTCTCACAAGACTTTCAGAATCAAGCAATTCCTGGCCAAGAAACAAAAGCAGAATTGTCCCATTCCCCAGTGGATTCAGATGAAAACTGGTAATAAAATCAGGTACAGGGGCGCCTGGGTGGCTCAGTTGTTAAGCGTCTGCCTTTGCCTTGGGTCATGGTCCCGGGGTCCTGGGATCGAGCCCCTCATCGGGCTCCCTGCTCAGCGGAAAGCCTGCTTCCCCTCTCACACTCCCCTTGCTTGTGTTCCCTCTCTCGCTGTGTCTCTCTCTGTCAAATAAATAAATAAAATCCTAAAAAAAAAAAATCAGGTACAACTCCAAGAGGAGGCACTGGAGAAGAACCAAGCTGGGTCTATAAGGCATCACACATCATGAGATGACACACCTAATTGGCACACATATTCAAGCTGCACAAAGATCATATGTTCCTATCCTGTCACTCTGTAAACATCCCTCCTACCTGGCCAATAGACGTGTTTTATCAGGGAAATGATTTTTCTCTGTTACTATGCTTCTATACCAGTAGGTTGGTTCAATAATAAATGTGAGACCTTCCAGCTGAAAAAATAAATAGAATAGAATAAAATAAAATAAAATAAAATAAACTCTGTGTACATATCTGGCTCAAAAGAGGTTGGAAGTCGGTCCCTGGCAGTGACCCACACTGCTAATTAATTTATGGTGGCCCCAGACTGATCCACTATGGCATGTCAAGAAAGGTTGGGTGCTTGCTCTAAGGTTGTTGTCTTTCTGGTTTATGACTTCTTCAATACATAAAGATAATTATTTTGTTTCAAGAGACTTCACAGTTTCAATCATTGAGACTTGAAAAATAATAGCAGCAATATTAATAACAGGCAGTAATGAACAGAGGAAGTGATGCTGAACTTGAAACTCTAAGGGGCATAAAAATTACAAGGATCAGACTGACCATTAATCGATTTATAAGCATTTTTTGGGAAGATAGCCAGTTGGACTTATATGATGCTCTTGAATTTATAACACCTAGAAAGGAAGGATCTTATCTATTTTAGCTCATTTCATAGTCAAAAGAACTCTACAGTAGGTAATATTAATGTCCTTATTTTACATGATGAGAAAATAGTCTTGGAGAAATTAAGTAACTTGCCCAAATGATTGAACCAAAATCAAGTCCATTTGACTTCTGAGTTGCCTTCATGGAAGAAGGAAACATGAGCTGAATGGAGAAGGTGCTGTTGGAGTAGCTGTGTTGGTTTCCTGGGGCCCCAGTGACAAGGTACCACCAACTATATGGCTAAAACAACAGAAATTCATTATCTCTTAGTTCTGGAGACTAGAAGTCCAAAATCAAGGTGTCAGTATGGTTGGTTCTCTCAAGAGCTATAAGGGAGAATCTGTTCGGTGTCTTCTCTCCCAACTTCTGGTGGCCTTGGGCATTCCTTGGCTTGTAGATGGCGTTCTCCTTGTGTCTTCACATAGATTTCCCTCTATGTCTGTTTTTCTCTATGACCCTAACTCTCCTTTTTATGAGAACACCCTATTGGATTATGGCCCACCCTAATGACCTCATTTTTACTTGATTACCTCTGGAAAGATTCTATCGCCAACTAAAGTCACACTCTGAGGTACTGGTGGTTAGGACTTCAGTATATCTTCTTTGGGGAGTTAGGGAGGTTACACAACTCAACCCTTAACAATGACTTAATATTGAGTTGTTCATACCTCCAAATGGGCTTGCAGTCCTGTCTTCATGTAAGTTTATAATGTCTGAAGGACGTGTTAATGTATTTTAAGTTATAAAATGTATGAATGTAGGGACGCCTGGGTGGCTCAGTTGGTTAAGCGTCTGCCTTCAACTTGGGTCATGATCCCGGGGTCCTGGGATCGAGTCCCACATC